TATATATTAAAAAAAAAACCTAGAGCCAGTTTAAGTAAAGGGGAGATTTTGAGAGCATACAAGGACCTTCCTGGAATCAGGCAATAGGGTCCCCAAGGCTGAACAGTTACCCTTAAAGAACTTATGATCCAGTTGGGAGGACAAAGTTCCCAGAAAAGAACCAGTGAATGATGGTGGTTACATGCCCAGGGAGCAGACTTGGATTTGAATCCCAGATCCCGTTCATTTCCAGTGTGAATGAGCAAGTTATTTCATTTCCCTGGGTATATATTTTCTCATCTGGGAAAAAAAAACTGAGATGATAAAAGTACACCTCTCATGTAATTGCTAGGAGGATTAAATTAGATTATTAATGTAAACAGTGTTTTACACTTAATAGATGCTTTGCTGACTGTCCACTATTTCTATTTGTTTTCTGTAATGATGACACAAGTGTATTACAAGCAATAAGTTGATATGCCAAAGGCACCTTTCCAAAATTGGGTAAGAAGGCATGTTCTCACCCAGACATGTGTGTCATCAGCCATATAAACCCTCTGGCTCACGTGCCAGCAGGGGATTATGGGATGGAAGCATTTCTATGGACCAAATGTGGGTCATCTGCTTTAGCTCAGAACTCAAAACTGCCAGCCAAGCAATTTCCCTTGCTGGAGCCCTCTGGGAAAGAGGCACCATGGGATACTAATGTGTGGGCACACTTCCCCACTGGGAGCAGAGACCACATGCCATCCTTTTGGTCCAGGGCTTAGTGGCTGAGGGACCAGAGCACCTGACCTTCAGTCCCAGCCTTGCCAGTATTCAGCAATGGAAAGGTGCTTCTGAGGATCCAAATTACTGAACTATTGCAGGGATTCCTTTCATAATGACAACTACTGGGGCAAGAAGGACCCCCAAAGCTGGTGCACACAGGGACAAGGAGCCTACTCCTCCCACCTTTCTCACTTTGAAATCAGTTTTTATGTAGCGTAGTCTAAAGCAACATGGACTCATATCTTTCCTTCTCTGAATTAGATCACCAGTGCCCCAAGTTCATAGGAGAAGCAAACTCAAGGAATTTATTCTTCTACAAGTGGTTTATGAATCTGTATGTTAATGTTTGTCCTGTATCCAGTCTATTAGGCAAGTGTTAAATGCTTATTGAATATCAGCAATGTGCTCATTTCTGTAAAGAGTTTTAAGTACAAGTAAGAGTTTTAAGCTTAAACTTTACAAACATTTAAGAGTTTAAGTAAAGAGCTTTAAAAGACACATAAAGTAAGCCTTTATATACAGCTTCTCATGTATAACATGTATAACAAGAAGCAGATATTGTAATGGAAGTGCCTTAGCACATGGCTGCTCACCTGATGAGAGCTGCCCCCCAGTGCCTGCACCCACATCAAATTACCTTAGTGACTTTGGGTCCCCAGCAGGGATACAGAGGACACTGCCATCACCCATCACCAATTCCCCTGTTTGCCTTCTCCTGTTTCACCCCATCTCTATTATTAAAGCCTACTATCCCCAAAACAGTTTGGAGAAGGATCTCACTAACACTGCCCAACATAAAGAGGACAATATGCTTGTTAAGAGCCTGGTCTCAGGTTTGAATGGCAAAGGGGGTGCTATTTACCTACAAAGGCAGCAAGAATAATTTCTCCAATTCTTATTTTGTTCCTGGGTCCCAAATCAGCAAATTCCCCTCACTATATTGGATTCTCAAATTCAGAGCAACAAGCCAGACAGGGAACCCTCTCCTTGATCTTCTCTCTTTTTCCAATTTCCATCAACAATCAATTATTTTCTCTACTGTGTGTGTGTGTGTAATGTGGTGTGTGTGTGTGTGTGTGTGTGTGTGTGTGTGTGCGTGTGTGTGGTGTGTGATGCATGCACGTGTGTGCATATGCTCAAGAAGTGTTCTCACCTGGCTTTTAAAAGGTCAAAGCAGTCAGAATGTATTTTCAGAGAAGGCTGCAGGGACTGAGGAAGACCCATGTAATTTACAGAATGGCAAGGACTGACTGTGCATCAGGGTAAAAGGGCAAAGAAAGGGTAGTCACAGCAAGAGGGAAAGTATATATGAGTAGGATTTGTTTAGTGAAGCGGTGATAAGAGTTAGAATTGGCCAGAAGTTGTGTCAACGGGAACGTCATGAAACATAAGGGTAGGCAGGTAGGGCAAAACTGAGTTGGTGGAAAAGAGTAGGTTCGCCATGGTACATATGAGTCTTGGAGGGGTTTGAACAAGGCTTGTGGCTGGTTCACAGCAGTATTCACAACTTTCAAAGGAGCTAGAGCTGACCAGGCATTGTGCACTGGGGACSAGATGAGGGAAGAGTGTGTAAGTGTGTAGCAAGGAGGAGTCTGAAAGAGGAAGGCAGAGGAGGTGCCTGTGCCTGGCCAGGAACACGGAATGGGCAGAATAAGGGTCATTCTGAGTGGATCATTCTCTTTCTCTGACATTGCCCCTTACTAAAGTTTCCTTTGATTGTGAATTACATTCTAAAGGAAACTTCAATTCCGAGATGAGTTCAAACCAGTTTTGTACCTACACTCTGTCCCATGATGAATTTTTTTTTCTCACTGTGCATTGCTCACTTCCTTAAGAAGTCTCTCTAAGGTCTGCCTCCTGAACCCCAGTTTCCTTTTATCTGTTCTCTGTTGTAAGCTTTGCTGCAAATCTTTGTTTTGCCATTGGTGTGTCCACCTTGGACTTGGTAATCCTGACTTCTCCTGGTTTTTTTTGCCTACCTTCTTTTGTGGTGATAATAATGGGATCCTTTTGCCCTTCACCAGAGTATTCCTATGACTTGGTCTGCTTCCCAGACCTCTTTGCCTCTGCTATTCCATAATATTCCCCCCACACCTAGAGGAGTGAGGTAGAAGAGATTATTTTGCTGGAAACTGCAAGATTTATGCAGGATAAACCAAGAGTACAGGCCACTCTCCACAGCAAAACATGACACCTGATGGCTAAATGTTATTGCTTTTTATATCAGAACTATGGGAATCACTCTTCACCTTTAGCACTCAAAGTGCACTTGTGGGTCCTGGGTGGTCATGTGCCTTTTGCCCCTGTTGTGTAGAACCCAAGAAATTTCAAATGTTCAGAGTCAGCCCTCTGAGAGGTTATAATGTCATACTTTTCAAATTGGACCTATAATGCCTTGTACCCAGGAAACAGTTCAACATTTTGGAGGGATGTGGAGCCAGGGTTGATCCTTTACTAAAATGAACAGTGGATGTAATAAACAAAAGAAAAGTGGTCCTGAGAGGCACAGTTTTCCTCTGAGCATTATATAAGGACATCAGGTGGAAAATGAAGGGTCCCAGCAGATCTCAGGTCTGAAAGAAGGGATAGCCAGGCATCTGGAAGGCATTTGTTCTGGAGGAGACCTTCAAGGCAGGAATGTGAATTCCACAAAGAATGTAGACAAATCTCAGACTTAAGAGGTGCTATTCATTTATTATTATGTTTTTAAGTAAAAGCAGTGTATATATTTTCTAGGGCTACCATAGCAACATAGCGAAGACTGAGTGGCTTAAACTGTAGATTTGCTCACAGATCTGGAGGCTAGAAGCCCAAGGTTAAGGTGCCAGCAGGATTGATTTCCTCTGAACTCGTTGCCCCGGCTTATAGACAACTAGCTTGGTTAGCCTCTGTGTACACACATCCCTGATGTTCCTTTGTGTGTCCAGACCTCCTTTTATAATGACACTAATCAGGTTGGAATAGGGTCCACCTAATGGCTTCATTTCAACCTGATCACCTTTTTAAAGGTCTTATCCTAAATACAGACTCAATCTGAGGCACTAGGGATTAGGACTGCAACCTAACAAGTTTTTAGGAGCACAATTCAGCACGTAATGAATAGCCTAAGGGAATCTTTGAACACTAATAGTTATCATTGCTGACATTTTTTTTCACTTATTATGTGCCAAAGATTGTTATAAATATTTTTCATGGATTATTTTAAAATCTTCTCCATAATCATATAGTATACACATATAGATTGTATAGATTATAAAACCATGTTTTCTGAAAGATGGTGAACTCAATTTGATGTAATTATATAACTATGGGAAATACTGTACCCCAGAATCCCTGTGGTCTAATATGACTTAGAATAATGAGAGACTCCTGTCCTCATCTTTCGGTTCGTGGAAATCTCTAGAAAATGCAAGGCTTTCTCCCTCAATCCATGACCTCTAAAAGCCAAACCTGTTTCAGGAAGAGTATGGGTGGGTAGGCTATAGCTACAGGGAAATTGCAGCCCTGACTGTCCCCTCCATGTATCTATGCTTACTCCCATCTTCTTTGCTAGGCTGAATCATCAAAAATTAAATTAGGATGTACCAGCACATGCTGCAGAGCTCTCAGCAAACTGCTGAACATTTAGTCTAAGCTATTCCAGATCTCCTCCTTGAACTGCACCCCACCCCAAACACACCAAAACTCTGTGAAAAAACTATTCTTACTCCTATTTACAGATAAGGAAACTAAAACTGACCCAGCCACCGTCCTTAGTGCCACTCTTTCCTTGTATGACCTTGAGCCAGATGACCTCTTTCAGTGGGTCTCACTAACCTCAGCTGTAAAATAAATTCTCATTCTCATTTCCCCCTCATAGTTTGACTACTCTACACTAGTGCTTAGGTCTGAAAGGACCCAGTGGTCAAGCCCCACCCCAACCCTACATTCATGTGGTGTAACCACTGTTTGTCTTCCCACAACCCTTCTCTCCTTTCTGGGGTTCCCATCCTAGAGCCCCAACAAAGGAGCCCACTTCTATGTTCCATTCCTCCTTCACTGCCCAAACTCCAGAATAACCAACAGAGAACTCAAGTTTGCATATCGGTAAACGTGCCCCTGGGAGTGCGAGTCCATCAGCCATGGCACCGTGGGGACTTCCGGGCAAGGTCTCCCAGGCAGCCCTGGGCCACCCTGCCAGCTCAAAATGAGAATGCCACTCTCCTAGGTGAAGAGTGACACTGGGCTTTGTCTCTTCTCTGGCCTTACAGGAGGCTCTGTCGGTGGTGAGCGACGACCAGTCCCTCTTTGACTCAGCATACGGAGCGGCGGCCCATCTCCCCAAGGCCGACATGACCGCTTCGGGGAGTCCTGACTACGGGCAGCCCCACAAAATCAACCCTCTCCCACCACAACAGGAATGGATCAACCAGCCTGTGAGGGTCAACGTCAAGCGGGAGTATGACCACATGAATGGATCCAGGTAAGTCCTCCAGACCTGCCTGGAGCTGGGGGAAGCTCCGGGACCCTCCCGCCTCAGGTGACCTAGGCATGCAGATCTTCACTACGCAGCTGCTGGCACCTAGGGCATTTGCAGCAGATGAGGCTCTGGTGTTTGGCCAGGGAGCTTGGGTCAGTCATAGAGAGCTAAGGCAAGATAGGCTGCAGAACTGGAGGCTGGAGGTGAGGTAGGGTCAGGAAACCCACCTGAACCTCTGGGTCCAGATGCATCCCATAGAGGCTAGTTTAGAGTGAGGTCCCAGGACCCTGTGCAGATACTTATGGAATATCAATTTTGTGGCAGGCCAAGAACAGGTCTGGCCCCCTTTGGGAAAAACTTAGTAATAAGATCCTCCCCCCTGTCCTGTTGAAGATACTTAACATCTCTGGGTGAGTCTCACCCGAGCAAAGACGACCAGAGCATTCTAGTAAGGGGGAGAACTGGCGAACAGGCAATGCTTGCAAGAGGGCTCTCTGTGCCAGGAGTGAAGTGCTGCAGTTGGACAGTGTGTTATGAAGGACGCTAGTAAAAATATCCAGGGCGGCTGAAACTTTGTAGAAATGAAGAGAGGAGAGTCCAGGGAGAGAAAAATCAGAGAAGCAAGGAAAGAACCCAGCCTCTAGATAGGTAGCCTGAGTTTCACAATCTGCCTCCCCATTTGGGGCAAATGCTCTAAATCCCTCTGAGTACTAGCTTTCTCATTTCTAAAACAGTGTTTAGAAATCTTCATAGACTTTATTCATAGGCTTGTTAACTCTGGTACTGCAGGGAAAGGACCCAGGACAGTGTCAAGGACTCAGAAAATGCTCAATAGTGATAGCGACCATTATGCTCAAAGGCTTAAAAGAGAGAAAACATTAGTCTCGCTCATTATCTTACAATTCCTGGCAAACATGCTTGGGCTAAAGCACATGGAGATAAAAATAAAAAGCAAGAAATGGTCCCAACTGGCAAGCTAAGAAAATAGGCCATTCATTTTATGGGCAGAGACTGACTTTAAGCACAGAAGTGACACTGAACATCATTAGAGACTAGTACACTGACAATCATGGTGCACCATGAATGGGGACAAGACAGTCAGATAAGTGAGAAAGTTACTGATATGTCTCAGATAGGAAATAATAAAGTTCTGAACTAGAGTGATGCTAATAATTAAAGAAATCAAAAAGAATAGATACATAAGTGATATATCAAAGAGATGATTAAGAGGGCTTATGTAGATAAATATTGAAGTAGGTGAGAGGGAAGATCAGATATAGCTGGAGCCTGGATGTTTTGAAGAAGGATGATGTTGTTAGAAGACATAGGAAGGCAGGGAGAAGAAATGCTTCAGGGAAGAATGTCAACATTCCCTTAGAGATTCATTGTGAGCAATGTCTACTAGGCTTTGGAAATCAAAGTTCTAATAATATTTGGGAGCAGGAATGTAGGTTTGGGCATCATCTCTAAGGAGCTTTAACAGTGCAAGTAGATGAGTCATGGAGGAAACAGATCCAGGGAAAGAAGAGAGACGGGAGGGAAAAGGAGGGAGAACTCCTGTCTCAGACCTGAACTCCTAGCCCTCCCACATTTCAAACCACTAACCAAAACCAGTGACTAGGATCCCAGCCCCCTTCCCAGATTCTAGGATTTTATAAAATCTCAGAGATTGTGGGACAGGAGCACCTCAAATGCATTTCTCTTGGCAGAGAGAAAAATTGCCATGCTATACTTCCTAACAGTCACAGGGCATAGCTGATAAAGCATTTTCTCATATTCTCTTATCACACATACCCCCATGCTTCCCCCCCCCCACATACTCCTAGGAGGTAGATATTCTAACCTCATTATTATAAAGAAAGGCACTTTGGACTCTGAGGGAGTGCCTTGTTTAAGGATCAAGAGGAGGCAAACCTAACACATATCCCAGGCTTTCTGGTCCCTTGGGCATCTTTGTGCCCCTCCCTCTCTGCCTGTATAACCTGTTTTTATACCAAGGTCTCATTTCTGCCAACACCTGCTAGTGAGGAGACCTGATCTGAGCAATGCCTCTCAAACTGTTCTGACCACATGAAGCTTCTGAAGCTTGTTGAAAATCCAGATCCCACCACCGTAGATTCTTTGGTCTGCTGCACCTGAATCTGACCACCACCCACCCCCACCATCCCCTATCCAAGCCAGCAGTGCCTTTCCTGAGCTGCTGCTAGAGCATCCTGGCCTTTCTTCTTCTTGCCCTCCTGAAGTCAATTCTCCAGACAGCAAACAGCCAGTCATCCTTTCAAAATATTTAACCCTCTTACTCAAAACCTTTTAATGGCTTATGACAAAACCCAAATCCTTAGCATGGCCCAACCATCCCTCCCACATGTTCTCCAGCCCCTCTCTAGCTCATTCCTCCCTCCACACCAGCCACACAGACTCTAGCTGCTCTTTGACCCCCAGGCACACTCTTTCCTCAGAGTCTCTGTCTGCAGATTGCTTCTTTCTGGAACATTCCTATTCCATTTAGTTGTAGGATTCCTTGTAAGTTTCAGGACTTTCTGGATGCCACCTCTTCAGAGGCCTTCCCTGACCACCGGATCTAAAGTAGCACTCTATCATCACCTTTTAACCTGCTTGAATAGTTCTTAGTTCTTGTCACCTCCCTCACTAAGATGTTTGCAGGGCTTTTGTTCACTGAACAATGTCTGACACATGATGGACATTAATAGTTGTTTAAATACATTACTAAATGAATGCAGGGCTAAGCAGACTCAAAAGTGAAGTCATTTATTTAAGGTCATGCAGGTACAGGTTGAGTCTCCATTATCAGAAATGTCTGGGACCAAAAGTGTTTCAAATTTCAGATTTTGTATATATATATATATATATATATATATATATAGTGTGTGTGTGTATATATATATATATATATATATATATATATATATATAGAGAGAGAGAGAGAGAGAGAGAGAGAGAGAGAGAGAGAGAGAGATAAATATGCTGGGATGGGTACCAAGTCTAAACATATTTCTATTTCATATACACCTTATACACATAGCCTGAAAGTAATTTTCTGCAATTTTTTTAGTGCATTTGTATTTTGACTGTGATCTGTCATATGAGGTCAGGTATGGAATTTTCCACTTTTGGCATCATTGTTGGTGCTCAGAAAGTTTGGGATCTGGAACATTTAAGATTTTGGATTTTTGAAATAGGGATACTCAACCTACAATTAGTAAGTAAGCCAGGGCAGAGACCCAGCTGCACTGACTTAACCCCTCTCATGTTGGTTCTGGGTTGGTGCTCAAAGGCTATATTTATGAGTCCACTGCTTCCTCCCCTGCTACTAGAGAAACCTCAAGTACTCAAGAATACTAATCCCGGGCAAAGAGGGTCCCCCCAAGGAAATGGATGTTTAGAACCCATTTGCCAGCTGGTACCTGACTCTGGTCACCAGAAGCCAGCAGGAGGAGAGCTGTACAAATAGCTCCATGAACCATCTGGATATTTACCTGGCTTTGGTTGCCCAAAGTAGCCTCTGCTTAAGATTTACCTGTTCTGATGCAGAACATCAGCAGGAGACCAAGTAGTTTTGGAAGTATTCTCTCACCCCACCCTGGGAACACAAAGGTGATCCAGTGAACTCTGAGTCAATAAGGCACAGCAGGGGGCTGGGGATGTGGCTCAAGTGGTAGCGCTCTCTCTCCTGGCATGCGCGGGGCTCTGAGTTCGATCCTCAGCACCACATACCAACAAAGATGTTGTGTCTGCCGAAAACTAAAAAATAAATATCAAAATTCTCTCTCTCTCTCTCTCTCTCTCTCTCTCTCTCTCTCTCTCTCTCTCTCTCTCTCTCTCTCTCTCTCTCTCTCTCTCTCTTCTCTCTCTTTAAAAAAAAATGCATCCTCAGGATGTCTTTTTTAAAAAAATAAAAATAAGGCACAGCAGTGGCCAGCACCTCATAAATAGTTAAGCACTCACATGTGAGTCATACAGTGGGAACAGGGAGAAAGGATTTTTAGAAAGAAAAGGGGGAGCCATGTCAGAGCCTATTACTTAATTATGCAAAAATTAATGACATGAAGCAATAGATACCAGACTATTTACACCTTTAATCCCAAAAGCTGTGCTGACCCTATTCTCTGAAAATTACTGATAATGGTTCTGATTTCACTGTTTTCAGTGGACTTATTTACATAATACAAAAAATAGGTGAGGTTGTTGTAATGGTTCCTCACTTCATATGAAAAAACCAAAGCAAAGTACACAACTTGGATCTCATGGCTCATGAGTGGACCTCTGCTGTCCAATAAAATACTCACTAGCCCTATTCTGCAACCGAGCACTGGAAATGTGGATAATCCAAAATTGAGATGTTCTCTACATGTAAATTACATACTGGGGTTAGGAAACTTAATATGAAGAAAAAAATGTAAAATATCATGTGAATTATTAATTATGCTGAAATAATCATTCGACTATGTTGAGTTAATGTATTGTTAAAATTCATTTCACTTGTATTTTTTTAATTCTAAGAATGTGGCTATTACAAAGTTTAAAGTGGTCTGTGTGGCTCATATGTGTGACTCACAATCTGCTCTGATTGGACAGTGTTGGGTCAGAATGTTTTGGACTGTCCTGTGATTCACAGTGCATTCCCTCCATGATCTTTGATAAACATGGATTTCTGAGTTACTCCTTCATGTTTCTTGGAGGCCCCATGGATATTTGTGTCTCTCTTAGGAAGGAGGTAGTCCATATGCCTGATGCTGCAATGCCCTCTTGCTTTTGATCCCAGCAGCAAGCCATCTGGACCAGGGGCAAAGAGTCAAGCAGAGAGCCTGAGGTCTGAGGAGCTCAGAGCGGGTCTGGGTTGTCCATCCCATGGGAAGTCTCTCTCTCTCTCTCTCTCTCTCTCTCTCTCTCTATCTTCCTGTTGTGGTTGAATCTGGTAGGCTGGGTTACCCTCAAACAGCCTGGTCCACAGGTACTATGTTGGATATAGATTTCAGCAACTTGAGCCAAGTTGTGGTATGCAAATAAATCAGCTGTATCCTGTCTCACGGGGATTGAGGAAAACATCCCATGAAAGAAAGAATTATGTTTTATAAAAGAGAAGCACTTGCCTTAGGAGTCTGGCATTCAGGACCTGAGCTGACTGTTAACCTGTCCTGATACTTCCTGGACTGGCCAACAGTATCAGGATGCACTGAACACCCTGAGACTCACATTCCCATGTTCTGAACCCTGCTACACATAACCTGAATGGGAATTCATCCTCAGGATTCTGGAAATGTTACCAGCCTCTGCAGTGTGTGGGGATGAGTCCCTTCACAGTCTGGTTCAGCTACAGATTTTTGGACCTTGATGATATAACTTGAGTTCAGTCGTTTTGAATGGGAAGTTAAAAAAGAATTTTGTGCAGTCTAAAGTGGTAACTTCGGGGACAAGTCTTTGAAATCTCCTTTCATCCAAACTCCCAAGATTTTACTCCTTGTCTTAAAGCTTAACAGTTTGCAAGGCACTTTTGATAATCTTTAACAATCTGTTAAAGGCAATGTTCACTGAACACACAAAAATAAAAGTAGAGGAGTAAAGAGCTTATGTCCCATGGTGGTGACAAAAGGCAGAGGCTACAGAACCCTGGTCAGTTTAACTATGGCCTGCTAAGCTACAGCTTCTGGCTGCCCTGTGACGGAGAGACTCTGGGCTACATTCTCAGAAGCACTATGTCCTCCCTGCTCTATTGTGGCAGCCCCTATCCCTCTTGTCACCTGTCCTACTGCTGTCAGCTGCTTGTGGGCCCCAACCCCTTGCTAGCTGCAAGTGTAGTTCTCAATACAAATTAGCAGCAATGCAGGCAGGCTGAATGGCAAAGCCTCTTCCCCCGTCCATGCTCCCCCTCCTTCCCTCTCTCTTGTTTTCATTGAGCCCTCTTCACAGGCGCCAGCTGCCTCATTAAAGAGCAGTCTTTATGCTGGGCTTCACCTGTACCCACCCTTAGCAGTAGCTGTTGAGCCCCATGGCCACACTGTCTGGCGGAGGCACAGAGAATGGAGGGAAGTCTGGCAGGCGAGCGGGAGAGGTATGGCTTTCCTTCTTTCTTGCCCTGAGCAGTTGGAGGAGGGCCAGCCGGGCAAGGGCAATGGTCAAGGGTTGGTGGGTGTCAGGGCTTCTCCATAAGGATGCCCTTTGCAGGACCTGGCCCAGAGAACTGGGACCAAGGACAGGGCCTTGTTCCAGAAGTTGCCCCTGCAAGACAGATCATTTGCCTGGCTGAGAAACAGGTGTGCCCAGGGCAGGAGGAGGGAGAGAGGAGGAAAGCTGGGTCAGAACTTCTGTGGGCTAGTGAAAAAGGAATTTCCACTTGCCAGACATCTAATGGCTGCCCAAGAAAGAGGACCCCACTCCTGCTCTCACCCACTTCCCCAGTGATGCTTGTGACTCTTCTCCTTCCAAGGTCCTGAATTAGGCAGTCTTTACCAAATGTCTCAACTTTTTATACTTATTTTCCTCTAGTCCTTGCACCAGGGACCAACCCTTCCACCCATACCCACTGTGCATGGCCATAAACCATCAACAACCACTTTTTTTTTTTTTTTAGTGGTTCTTGAAGTTTTGATTTTCTCTACATGGCTAGGGCTCAGTTTTTAATTTTGAAATCCCTAGAGATCTGGCTGATGTGGGAAAGAAGTTTTCAAAAATTATCTCCCTGTATTCATAAAGGGAGAAGCCTATGGAATAGGCACCTCCCCTTCCACCATTCCCTGCCCACAGAGTCTGGCTCTGGGCACCTTCCAGGGGAAGTGTGTGTCCTGTCAACCCCACCCTCTCCCACAGAGATCCCCCAGCCAATGAAAACCTTGCTCTCTTGGTTTCAGGCCAACTTAATCCTCCACATTTCTCTGGCACTTGAACTGTTTCACATCTGTCAAGGATCTGGGAAAAGTTACCAGATTGTGTGGTGTGAGTGTGTGTAGTGTGTCTAAGTGTGTGTGAGTGTATGCACTCATGCATGCATATCTTTTGTGTCACTTGTGTACATGTGTAAGTATGTGTGTATGTATTATGTATGTTATGTGTGGTAGATGATGGGTGTGTGCACAGGTGTCTTCTGTATTCTATGCATGAAGATAGTATTGTGTGTGTGTTTGTATCATGAGAGAGTGGGTGTGTGCCTTTATGTGTATGTGTGAATGTATGTGTGCATGTTTTTCAGAGTGTGTACATGTATGCACATATGCACGTGTATGTATGTGTTGTATGGTAGAGTATATATGTGCATATGTGTGTTTGTGTGTGTGATGGAGTGTAGGCACATGAATGCATGTTTGCATTGTGTATGTGTATCATAATGGGATATGTATATGCATACATATGTGGTAAGTATATACATATTTGCACTGTTTGTGTGTTGTGTGTGTCATGTGTGGTGGAGTGTATGTGTTTGTTTTGTGGGTATATATGTATTGTGTATGTGCATGTACACACATACATGGTAGAGTGTGTGCATGTTTGCATTGTATGTAGTGTATGTGTATAGGTGTGGTGGAGTGTGTGATGTAGAATGTGTGCATATATATGTGATTGTGTGTCTATGTGGTGGAGTGTGTAAGCATATGAGTGCATGTTTGCATTGTGTATGTATGTCATGTGGTGGAGTGTGTGTGCACATGGGGTACAGTGTGTGCATGTTTGCACTGAGTATGTGCGATGTGTGTTTATGTGTGTGTGTGGTAGAATCTGTATGTGTTGGAGTGTCTCCTTGTGTGTGTGCGTGGGTGCATGCGCACATGTGGTTAGCCATGGGGAGGGTGGAGGGGCTGCATGCTCGGGCCAGCTCAGCTCAGACGCGGCACCAGGGTTGACTGGGACTGCTTCATCTCAGGCCAAGTCCTTCAACAGCAGAAGCCAGAGGGCCAAGCGCTGGTGAAAAGCCCTGATGTGCTACTGCCTCCCCTCCGACTGCCATGGGGACATTAAACCTTCAACGATCTGGGACTCTGACGGCTGGTTCTTGGTTCTCTGCCTGGAAAAACAGTAGGCGAATAGTAAAACCTTAAATTCTAACATGTGTAAGTTATACATCTTATTTTCATTTTCAGCCCATGTTCCCTCTGTAAGACATCAGGAAAAAATTACCGTCTGACTTCTAATATCTCAGTGGAGCATTTATCTCCCAGCTATGATAAGTGATCTTCAATATTTTTTTCCTTTCAGATTAAGAAACAAATTCATTTAATTTTCTTTATTGAATGTGCTCAGGCCTCCCCCGCCCTGCCCAAGTCTTGGGAAGCCCTGGGCTGTTCCCCTTCTTCCTGGGCTGGTAACAGCTCTCCCTGCTGTGTGGATGGGTGGGTCCCTGTCTGGCACAGCCCTGCTCCTTAAACCCTCTCAGTGGTCCCTTCCTGCCCACAGCAGAGTGACAGAGGGCAGTGGCTAGGCCTTTGGAATGTCCGGAGAGGTTAGCAGCGTGAAGTTGGAAAGCTGTAATCTGAACCTTATCTGACCTCCTTGGTCTGAAGGTCTGGTTTGGAGCTCTCAGAGTACTGGCTGTCTCCCAGGCTGCCAGAGCGGATGCTTGCTGCTTGGTGTAACCTCGGCTGCAGCCCCTGCTTGGCCTTTCAGGGGTCTCCTCTGGTCCTGCTGCCAGAGGATCTAAGTGGGAACTGGACATGGCRAGGTGGCCCCTCCCCAGACACACTGGGAGGTTCATGATAATGGACTGAGAGCTATATGGAGTGTTCCTCCTGCCTGCTCTGTGGCACCAAGTGGCCACAGTGGGTGTGTCAGCCCAGCTCTCCAGACGGTTGCTCTATGCTGCAAAAGACCAGGTGTTAATTGGGTTGTGTCCTTTGTGACCATGTTAGGTGTTTTGCTTTCTCTCTTGTGCATTTTCAGATTGCATCCTCTATGAACTTAATGATCAGGGCTGCAACACTCTATCGGGGCCACAACCTCTATCAGGTTGTAGTTCCTCGATTCTATTTCTCCTTTCACAATAGCAATCAGTTCTTTTGCACATGGGTTTTGATAAAGAAGTTTAACACTGAATATGAGACCTGCATCGTGTGTGTGTGTGTGTGTGTGTGTGTGTGTGTGTGTTGCTGGGTATTGAACCCAGGGACTTGTGCATGCTAGCCAAGCACTCGACCACTGAGCCATACCCTCAGCACACATCCCCCAGCCTACGTCCCCCACCCTTTTTTTTAAGTACTGAGGATCGAACCCAGTCCTTTATGCACACTAGGCCAGCACTCTACCACTGAGCAACATCCCTAGCCTGCATCTACCTTTGTGACTCTGGGCCATTCATCCCCACCTCTCCATTTCCTTAACCATAAGAAGGAGATAGTAACCTTTCTGTACCTATCTTGGAGGGTTATTAGGAAATTCAAATATAACAGTGTGTGACAAATGCATTAAAACAAAATATATGTAAAAGAAATAGCTCACCAAGAAAACATTTATCACTCGCCTCCCATGTAAAGCACTATGTAGGCTACTGGAGATTAAATAAAGAATGTAATGACACCACCTCAAAAAACAATATGGCAGGAGGAGAGTTGATATCAAGTGAAGAATCGCATGGTGTGAAAAGTCCCATACCCAGCACAGACACAGAGTGCTATGGGACTGCAGAGAAGGAGTGTCCGGGAGCAGGGACTAGAAAGAGCAAGAGCTGCCTGGCAATTAGGATAAAACTGCAAACTGCAGTGAGGTTGGGAGGGCCGTTCACTAAGGAGCTGCCAAACATTTTTAAGTACCCTAATTACAGGATTGGTCTGGGGTTTGCAGAAAGCTCTGGTGGCACTGTGGAGGAGGGAAGTAGAGCTTCATCGTCTTCATCATCATCATTACACTCAGGTGGACGGGACGTGGCTCCACGGGTATCTGAGTGATTGGCCTGCCCTTCTGAGGCTGGGGCAAGCTGCCCCCATCAGGAATGACTTCCTCTGGGCTTTGTCTCCTCTCACTCTAGGGAGTCTCCGGTGGACTGCAGCGTTAGCAAATGTAGCAAGCTTGTAGGAGGAGGCGAGTCCAACCCTATGAACTACAACAGCTACATGGACGAGAAGAACGGCCCCCCTCCTCCCAACATGACCACCAACGAGAGGAGAGTCATTGTGCCCGCAGGTACCTTGGGAACCAGGCTGCCTGGCCAGCATTCACTTTACCATTCCTTGGGGGCTGTAGTGGAAGGGTAGGCCTGCTCCACAGGGCATTGAAACCTTACCTGGTACCCTAGTCTCCATGGAAATGCAAAATTAGGAAAGCTGTTCATCTTCCCTGACTCCCTAGCTGCCATCCAAGACAGGGTCCCCATTTTCAGCAGAACACCGAAGTGCTGGTTTCAGAAGCCCCACTCTCAAACAGGGCACATCACATACTCTACACCAGTGGCCTGGTACCCTAGGATGAGACCTGCTGAGGCTCAGAGGCAAGGCTACCTCATCGCAAAAGGAGTCGATGAACTCCCAGACCTAGCCATCCCTGTCTTTAAGGAGGAGGGTGGCTACTGATGCCCCCCCTCCCTTCAGGCATGTACTTCCTGGCATCTGCTGGGTTCCACCTTTCCAAAATTACAGCCAGCTCTTTCAGTTTTAAAATAGAAATAACTATATTTAACAAACGGAGTGCCTTCACACGTGTGCCACAAGTTATGTCATTATGTAAAAATAGTCTCTTTTTCCGAGGTATTGGTGCTGTTGGTTACAGAAAATAAAACCATTGTTCAATTCTTCAGTCCACTGGCCGGACACGCTGCCTGGGCTTGCACTCACTAGCAAGCCCTGCCACCCGGACACAAAGGGAGTTTGAAAACTGCCACGTGTAGAACGGGTGCCAGGTAGTAGGAGCAAGAATGTCCAGATCTTAAACAGAGTGAATTACAGGGAGGGACCAAAACTAACCTTACCAAAATAGCTCCACCAAAGAGACTAACTCCCTCCATTTGTAAAAGTGAAAAGGCAGTTGTGTCTCAGGACAGAGGATCAGACGACTCTCTGAGGTAGTCCAGAAAAATGTGTTGGTCTAAAGGCACGATTTTGAGAGGGGACCGTCCTTCCAAGGAAAGCTGTACCTCACCATATCCTGGGACCACAGCCCATCCATGTGTTCTGGACTAAACTCCAGGGGAGATGAAGGTGGAAAGTAGGGAAGAGTGAGGCAGGAGAGGAGGGGGTTGTGGGAATTGTTCTGTACCTTACAATATTTACAAACTGTTCAAGTTCCTTCTTCCACTAACAATAGAAGAGGAAGAAGAGTTTCATTTCTGGAGTGCTTTCCAGCTGCCAGGCATAAGATAAATTTGCTTTATCTTATGTCATTTAATGTTTGGTCTCCTGCCTCCTTCAGGGGATCAGCTGGTGATCATTAGCCCAGGTGCATCTTCTCCCTACTCACAGACAATGCGACTATGTTGTTAAAAACTGACATGGTGGGGACTCTCAACGCTTCCCCAGGCAAGGCAGAGCCTTCCTTGCTCACTGGGTATCAAGCTCTCTTGCTTCAGTCTAGCACAAGAAGAGAATCTTGGGGGACTAAAGCCTTAGGGGATCACATTGTCTCTGAACCAATTTGTTGGCACCATCTCATTCTGGTAGTGATTTTGGGCGGGCTTATGGAAAGAGGACACAAATGGCCAGAATGGTGGGTTGACCCTCTCACTCTTAACTGATATTGACATGCTTTCAAAGGGAATAGCAAAATGTTGGACTTCAGTGGGGCAAGTGAACTGTAGTAGGAATGATGAAAATAGTGTCAATTCATATCAAACATTTTCAAAGCACTTCGCCTAAGGAATTCATGAGCTATGGATTTGCTTCATTATTTGGCCACTGGCTAGATCTTTAAGAATTATCCTCAGACATTTTGGCTTCCTCCTGGTCAGCCTCTGGACATAAGGGAAAGTCTCATTTGGGCAGGTCCACAAATCAAAGCAATAAAACATTAGTGGAACAACCAATTGAATTTATGACGGGATTTTAAGACAAGTATAAATGAGCGCCCTAGTTAATCACTAGCTCCATGTTCAGATGGGAAGAAACTAGGACTAAATCATCCAGGAAATACATTTGGAAGAGTTTAGCATGATCCAGAGTGGAAGATTTATAATTCATTGTGCTGTAGAGGGAGAGAAATAATATTGTGATAGAGCCCAAAGCAAGGGAGGAAATAATAAAATAAATAAAATATAGGGTATAAAATTGAATTTGAGGCCTTGGATACTAAAAGTGAGGAATTAGGAGAAGTGAAGGATGAAATAATATGCTACATAATCCAACTCCCTCCAGGACATTTTTCTTTAGAATTCTGAAATGGTGCAAACGTATTTCCATTTACCAATGGTCCGTGCCTAATTGCTGCTGGAGAGTAAAAGTAAAAAAAGCAAGAAATTTATCTGAAAGAGACAAATGCACACTTGTACAATGAAGCTTTAGAGGAGCTCTGCTTTTTGGCACAAGGGCTTTGTAACTTACAGGTGAGTAATTGAGGATGGTGAGGAGGCAAGAGGGGAGGGGGCTTTGGGARGACTTCAGGTGAAACCCCAAAACAGATTCTTACCAGCTGTGGGTCTTTGTGCAAGAGACTTGAACATCTACGACTCCACTTTCCATCTGTAGAATGGGGAGAACCAATTTTGCCAGGTTTCCTTGATGAGTAAAAGTGGGATGAATGGAGGAGCTGATGCATCCCCCAGCTGTGATACCACTGGTAACAGGGTCGTGGATTGTTGGTATGACGTGCAGCAGCAGCCTGTGACTTGCATCCCCAAATTCTCCTCTTAAAGAGGTCGTCCAGCACACACACTGCACTGCTCCCATGCATGTGTGGTGCTGGGCACATTGAAAGCCATACCCAGCCCTGACACCCAGATGCTTTCATATAAAAAGGCGAGATGGAGAACCCTGCCAAAGGCACACAGCCAGCAGAAATCCCCCTAAAAGCTCTGAGCAATGCCCTCTGGTGAGGCAATAGAACCTTGCCTTCTTCCCTAGTGCTCTCCTAAGCATCAAACCCTGTTCCCATCTTTGCCAAGAGCCTTCACAGTCTCTGTAGAATGAGTGTGTGAATTGATTGCTAGGGAGCACAGATATTCCTGCCAAATAAGCATGCTAAATAAAACAGGTCATGTAAAAGTCAGGGGTGACCCACTGCCTTGTAATAAAATTCAAGTCTCTCCTCCTCCAGGAAGCCTACTAGGACTCTCCACATTCACATTCTTCTCTGCCACCCAGGACCCTTGAACTACCACCATGAAATCCACTGCTTAGTTATTGCTTTGCTACTATTTTATGATAGGTATTGGGTGGAAGCAGACTAAGAGCCACATAGTTGTCTTCTATGATGAGCATAATCTAAGGTATTTGTTGGACCCAATAACAATTGGTTGACAAGTGAAGACATGGGTTCCAGATGTAACAAGGGATAAGGAATAAGGGTCCTACTTAGTACAGAACCTGAAATTGCACCCCACACACCTGGCTGAGGACTTGTGAGGGTCCCATGGTGGCATGGCCATTGTCCTTACATTGCTCAAATTCACTCACGGCTAAAAGTTTCCTGCTAAAAGATTTCTAATCTTTGAGTATTTAAATATCCTAAAGATGTTTGGGGAATGATCTGGTAGACATTTCAACATGGCTGTCCCCAAAAGGGAAAAACCCAGATTGGATTCATGTCAAACACCACTGGGTCTTCCAACCATGCAGATGGGATTGCTATAAAAGTTCATGCACAGATATTTCTTTTCTATAGACATCTGAGGGATTGGTGCTCTTTCTTGAAATCATTAATGTTCTTAAAAACACAGATGGTCCCCCTTTCCAGAGACAGTGGTCCCTGGATCCATGCAATTGTGTCTATTTTCATTTTGATGCCACTTTTCTCAGGGAAAGGTCTCAATTGCCCTCCAAGATCTTTAAGGGGCATCCTGTCAGGGGGCAGCTAAGAGCCTTCCCAGAGAGCTAAGTGGTTCAGGCAGCACCAGCTGCCATGGGGTCAGATGAGCTGCTCTGAGGGGGGTCATCTAAAAGGGAACTAGCAAAGGGAAAGAGAGAGGAAGGGGGAAGGAAAGGGGACAGGAGGGAGAGAAATGGAGAGAGGAAAGGGGAGAGAAAGAGGGGAGAAGGCAAAAGAGGGAAGAAAGCAGAGAAAGACATAGGGGAGGGGGTAGGGAGCAAAGAAAAAGATGGACAGAAGAGAGAGAGGGAAAGGGGAGAGAGAGGGAGAGAGAAAGATAGAAAGAGATGGAGAGAGGAAGGGAAAGAGAAAAGAAAGGGAGAAAGCCAGAGACGGAGAGAAATGAGGGAAGAAAGAGAGGAAGATTGAAAAAGAGGGAAGAAAGAAAGAAGAGAGAAGGAGGGAGACAGAGATAGGAAGAGAAGGGAGGAGGAGAGGGAAGAGAGAGAAAGGGGGACTTCTAGACTGTGTGAGCGGCCTTCCTTGCTGACCTCTCCTCTCCTCTACAGACCCCACGCTGTGGACGCAGGAGCACGTGCGGCAGTGGCTAGAGTGGGCGATAAAGGAGTACGGCTTGATGGAGATTGACACCTCCTTTTTCCAGAACATGGATGGCAAGGAACTGTGTAAAATGAACAAGGAGGACTTCCTCCGAGCCACCTCGCTCTACAACACGGAAGTGCTGTTGTCACACCTCAGTTACCTCAGGGAAAGTAAGTGCCCAGGACCCAGGTCTTGGAGAAAGCTCTGTGGGGCTGGCTGGGTTCCCCACAGGTCAGGAAAAGGGGTCACTGTCATTTGTATTAGTCACCTGGGCAGAGGCCTAGGAGTGGTACCCTTGGGGCTGCAACCCCTCAAGGTCATTTGGGCTCCTACAGACCCTTCAAGGCTCAGACTCCATCCTGAGTTATCAAGGGAAGCAAAATAGGCAATGCAGAAAAAGTAGGGTGCTGTGACATGGGGTTGGGGGTCAACAGAGGCTAGTTACTCTGGTCCTATGAAAGCCTCATTCTAGAAGTTACTTCTGCTCATAATTATGTAGAAAGGGAAGGTCTGGCTGGCGTTTTCCTAAGAAATGATTTAAAGTTCCTGCRGGAAACTGAGTTTGTGCGTTTGGGATTTAAGTTTTGAAAACTGACATAGTAACTTCCTCTTATCCTGGGGCCACTCGGATGCCCCCTGACCCTGCCTTACAGGCTGCTTCCTGCACACTTATTTGCTGAACAAGGAGAGTAGCCCATGCCACCAGGGTGATAGGATCTACAGGAAGCTTTCTCCTGGTATAGCCTGGAGAACAACAACATCCAAAAAGCTTTGGAAAAGGAGAGCTTAAGAAAGAAAGGGTTTATCTACTATGAGGCTCCCCAGCACCAAGTGCCCATCAGTTCAATGTGAATTTCATTTGATATAAACTGTACACAGAGCTCTGAAAATCTCAGCCTTAACTCTTCACCAGGTGATATAGCAGTACTACTTCTAATTGCTTTAGAGTTGTTCTGTGGCCCGAAATCACAGTACTAAGATTAGGGAGTTGAAGCCAATGTGTGCTCATCTATGCAGGGGTATCCTCATGGCCAGGCCTGTCCAGACAGTGGGCAGGCTCTGGATGTAGTATTGACTCTTAGTGGCCAAAGGGGCTGGGACTATTAAAGACTTAAGTTTTGAGAAAGAGTTTGTTGATATAAAGTCCCCTTCAAAAGCTGAGGTCTTAGTACCTACACAGCCACCTTTCCTGGTCTGGTGGCCTCTGAGTTGGTTTGTGCCTTATTTGCTTTCTGTTGCTCAGTGGGTCTCTAACTCCCCCACCCCCTTATGATCTGCTGTCTTAAGGCAACCGCACAAAGTGCACTGTGGGGAGTGGGGGGCAATACACACTAGCTGGAAAAATATTTTAAATGTCTTTGGAAGTTTCCACCCGTCCTATCCCTCCGGGCTATCCGGTCACCTCTCCCAGGCGTCTGGGAACCAGTGGGTGAGAGTGGATGACGCAGTGTATGTTAGCACCAGAGCAATGACCTCATGTCTGAGTCTTGCTGCAATATGAGGTCAGTCCAAGAAGCAGCCGTTTCAGAAATGGGGCCATTTTCCATGGAGTTTCTCTAAGCTTTGGATGATGCTAATCGTCATTTCTAAGGATCTGTATTTCTCCGGCTTTAAGTCTTCATAGAATGATGGGGGAAAGAATCTTTGACTGGAATCGTGCAATGATCCAGAAAGGGCAGGGGCAGAGGGAGGCCTACCGAAGGTGGGTGCAAGAAGAAGACAGCAAGGTAGAGCAGCAGTCAGATCTGCTTTTCTGCCCCTCCTAGCATCAGCAGGAGTCTGAGATCCCTGAATCTTTTCCTTCTTTGTGAGAGAAGAGATGAYAGCAGTGTGATATTCATATCACATGGGTCACATTATATCATTTATGATACATATGATATTTGATGTACAATATCATATTCATATATCACATAAAGAACCTAGTAATTTTTGGCTCCACTGTAGAGATCTTTGTTGGGAGTGTGTCCAAGTGCATTCAGAGTCAATAAGGGGGGGAARCCCATTCAGGCCATGGACCCGTAAGCCTGGTTTTCTGACTGGTCTATAAACAGCCCAAATCCCCTTGGTACTTCCTGACACCAAGAACCTGAGTCATAGACACTGAAATAAGACAAATACCTGTGGCTCAAAAGGCCCAGGAACATGAGGAGGTGGCAGTTGGTGACCCTCAGGAGACTTCCTACTGGAGGAGGGTAGAAAGCAAGAGTGAATAGTAAGTAACCCAGTAGTGAATAAAGAGGGGGGACAGAGCTTGAAATGTGGGGGTAATACATGGCATGAAAAAGGGTTGCTTCTTTCTATGAACATATGTAGACATCAAAGAAGATGCCTCTAAAGCAATCAAAATACAAAATTTCTAGAAAGGGGATTAATAATGGAGCAACTTTCAGAGTTGAGAGGAGATGGAATCAAGCTTGGCTATGGAAGGCCTTGGAAAGCACGGGACAGATTTCCAGAACCAGGAAGATGGTTGGGTGACAGCAGTGCATGATGGGAAGTTGCTCTGGCATTAAAGGTTTACTGTGAAAAAAACGAGCAGTGCTGATGATACCAGCTGAAATGGGAGAGCTCACTGTAAGGTGGTCTGTGCATCAACATAAAAACCAGGTCTGCCTGCCAAAGCAAAGATTAAGACGGTGTATTAAAAAAAAAAAAAGAAAAGAAAAAGAAAACTTGCCCCAACGTAGTGTTGTAAGAGCCTGTTGAGGAATCTAGACTTGAAACTTCCTTATTCATGTTTCTTCCTCATTGGTGTCCTTCTTGGGGTCCAGCTTCTGGGACCCTCTATTTGGATGGTGGCTGGCTGCTAGGACATCTGTCTGCAGGAGGCCAAGTGCCAGTGACTGTCAGCTCTCTGGATTGCTGTGAACTCCCTCAGGCTGACCAACATGTCTTCAAACACTTTATAGTTTTTCCAGACTGACTTCCAGTAGATGATTTGYGCTTAGGAGGGAGGCCAGTTCTTGGGGAAAAGGTTAAGTCAACTGAATTGAGACAAGGGGAAGGGGTGCTAATTCCTGTGCCTGTCATCTTGTCCTTTTGTTGGAGAGGGGGACTGAGTGCAAACATTTATACTTTAGCAAGAATTGGAAGGAAGATAGTGGAGATCCCAGATGCAGATGGAAGTACAGGAGGGTAAAGGGTAGCCAGTAGAGGAAAACTGGGGAGCAGAACCTGTGTGAGGATTGTTATAGGTAAAAATTGGTGGCACTGTTCTGATCTAATCTTTCTGGATTATTCTAGAAAAAGGGACACCTTATAGGATAAGAAAATCTGGCATCAAATTTATACTTTCACAAAAGGTGCTTGACTGTTTATTCTGGTTGTCTGGGGAGGGGAGCTCTACTTTTAAGTTTTAAATTTAGAGATGAATTTTCCAGGGTGAGGAAGAAATAGCAGTGTCTCAAGTCCCTCGTGCTAGGATTTATCCAGCCTGCCTGGAGGTGTCTGTCTTCACATTTGGGCATTTCAACTGTCCYAGACAGAGTAGCTTTGTAACACCACCCACACTTGAAATTCAAGGACTGAGAGGGCTGTGTCTGGTTAGGATGCCTCAGTTCTTGGGGAATGCTTACATCTTTAAGAATGCTTAAATCTCCTGGAAATAAGACAGGCCAGCATCTGCCTAGATGTCATTCACTTTACATAGACAGGGTGCCCCCTAGTGGACACCAAGTGGACCACTCTTATAATCCCCATTTCAAAGCCAGAGCAACTGAGGCCTGACACTCTTCAGGAATTGGTTCAAAGGCATCCAGGCGCTGAAAAGCACCTGTCCTGGTCTCTAAGCCTCAGGCCTCTGAAGTCCCAGACTGCGACTTGACCCAAGCCTCATGCTACTGCAGATGACAGGTCTATCTTGGCGAGAGATGCCCCGACCCACAGTCAACAGCAAGCCAACCTGCACCACACTTGCCTCCTCTTCCCAGCCTGAGAGTCAGCCTCATTCTTCCAGGGCTTCCACTCAAAGGGCCAGGCTACTTACCCCACAGTGTTTTGTTTTTATGTGTACCAAGAGATAAGTGCTTTCCAAAAAACTTTCCTGTGGCCTCCTGGAATGAGGCAGATTAAGCCAAATCTATCCTCCGCCAACCCCTCTCTCTTCCCCACAGAGCCCCAAACTCTGGGCTTGATTGGCAGCCCCACCAGAATCTCTCCCAGACACACCCCGTGGGGCAGAGGCTGTGTTTGCAAAAGGCAGGCTGCGGGAAATGAGATTGGGCCCCTGGAAAGATGAGGCTGGGACCTGGCAGTTCAGCCTCAGGACCACTGGGGGGAGTTTGGGGATGTCCAAGAGTCCAGAAGCTCCTGGGAAGAGGGGGCAGCCAGAAGCAGAAGGAAGAAGAAGGCTTTTTGTTTGGTTTGGTTTGGTTTTCCCTTTAACAAACGAGTTGGGTTTGTATGTCTTTCTGGGTCTGACCTAAGAAACTGTGTTTTCAAACAGTGGCAGCTTAAGAGAATGAAATATATTGTGTGGCAGGGAGACCACAGGAAAGGTATCTATCTTGATTCCCATTTTTAATTTAAACTTAATGGAAAGCACATTTTGYGTCTTGTAGTATTCCCACCTGCGACCTCAGATGGTCGGGCAAAGGTGATGGATCGGGGCAATCATACTGGTGAAGAATTATCCCTTCCAGGTCCAGGTTTGGCCAGGAAAGAACAGGATTCCAGCAGGACAAAAGGCCAGATCGCCCTGGACTCAGCACTCAGCCAGGCCTGTTGTTTAGTAGGAGTCTGACCGCCCTGCCCTGCCCCCTCCAGCCCATCCCACCCACACTCAGCTAGAGCCATTGACTGCGCAGAAAAGGGAGACCTGGCTCAATAGGCTGACGATGAGGGATGAGGGGCGCTGGTGGATTCTATGGCAACAGCGAGGCCCAGACAAAGGCTTTGACATTGGGACGCTGCTCCAGGTGTCTCCCATGCTCCAGGTGTCCCAGATGAAAAGCAGGTTAGGCAAAGGGAATATGGAACAAAGAAAGCACCCTCCTCCGCGGGTGGAGGTGGGGGTTGCCCCACACCTGCAAAGCTTCATGGTGCCCATTCCCATCTCCTTTCAGATCCCAGATTCTGTATCCAGGGACAGATGGACTCAAAAATGGAAAATTATCTTTTCCTGATGCTCTTACTTTGGGAAGGCAATTCCAATCAGCAGCAGTTACTTTGTGCATTTAAGAGAAAAATGTGCTGTGAAGAAATAAATATATACATGCATATATATCTACACACATATACATATGTACATACATCAAATAACCAAGTAAATGGATGTTCCCATTGACGTATAACATACAGAATATTGCAAAAATTGCAAGGGCACAGTTGGGGGAATTATCACAAAAATGCATTCACTCACTTTTATAGGCACCACCCATCCCAAGTCAAGGAGTAGAAGAGAGGCATACTCCCTCTCTCCATCACTACTAACTCTTCTCCCCAAAGTTAACCACCACCCTGCTTTTCAACACCAAACATGAGTTTTGCCAGTTTCTTTGATTTGGCTTAGAGGCTGCAGGAGCTGGTAGTGGACTGAGGATTTGTAGAGAGATCAGATGGGATCCTGCCTTCTGCGACTTCTGGCTGTGTGATCCTGAGCAAATAACTTGTCTTCTTTGAATGTTGATCTCCTCATCTGTAAAAGAGGGATTAATGTGATACTGACTTTGTATGACTCATGCAAGGACTAAGAGAGAGAATAGATAGAAAAGCGTCTGGCACATCATACATGCATTGTCCAAGGGCATTGGCTTCTGTCTTTCCCATTCTAGCCTGTTGACTCTGAGAAGTGGGGGTTAGGAAACCTTAGGAGATGAACAGCATGCTAGGTTGGCTCCAGGTCAGCCCAGAGAGGTCCTCAAAGCAGGAGAAATAAATTCAAAGCAACTAGGAAGGAGGCCTGACTTTAGGAAGGACTTTCCTGCATCAGAACAAGTTCCCTTATGAAAAGAGTTTCTATATCATTCTCTATAGCCTGGGGACCTGGTTTAAAAAATTAGAGAAGAGAATGTGGGTCCCTTGGGAGAGAGACAAGAGGCCTCTGGCCTGCCCCTCCTCAGGAATGAAACTTGAACCAAGAACAAACTTTGGGCAAAACCCTTTTCCTAGGTTGCCATGAAATATGTATTTCATGCAAGCTTTGGAGAGGTTATACGACCCTTTCTCTTGGCTTTCTGGGAGTTTCCTGTGGAATTCACATGTGCCCAAGGAAGAACTTTCACCAGGGGGGAAATTTAATAAATGTGGTTTATCTAAGCTTCGTGCTCTCCGCTAACTTTGCACTAATGACTCAGGCATTTTGCTCCTCAGAGACCGTCATTTTTCTTTATTTGCTCCAGCAGTGAGGTTTCAGCCTCAGGGAGAGAATGTCGGGGACAGAGATGCAGACATTCTTTTATTCCTGAGATTCTTTTGAATTCCCTTGGAACATTTGATTCCTTTGCTTAACCTCCTTTCGGTCGCGGAGGATTATTTCTTATTGCAGCAGAACCCATTCATAACTCTAATTTCAAAAAGGCAAGACAAAGGCTCAGCAACCTCTCCTCTAAAGAGTTTTATCGTATGTAATTGTGGTGTCTTGGGAAAAGGGGAATAAAAATAGTAATGACAACAGCTAGCATTTATTGAGCACTTACTATGAACCAGGATCTGTTCTGAGCTTTACACACACAGAGGATTTTACTTAATCCTCACAACATCCCTATCAGGAAGGTTGTTACTATCAATCTCTTGTCCAGATGAGAGGTCTGTGGCTCGGATGAGATAAATGGATAGAGGTCATAAAGCTTATCATTGGTAAGAGGCAGGTCTAATTTTAAACTCATTTGCATAATGACCTCCACCAAAATGAAGTCATCCTAGCCCCACTTTATCACTGATATTCTTGAGAATGGAATCACCAAATGGTAGCCAATTCTTGGTATTGCATTCAGGTGACAGTGTCATTCATAAAACAGTCTCCACATATCTGCACTTTGGCATATAGCAGTCTCTAGGAGTTGCCCCACTCCTGGCTAGAACTGTTTCAGGACCAGAAGGAACAGTCACCCAAGCTAAAAGTCCTAGCAGTTGGAAGATTCTTCTAAAATCCGACTCCTCTCGGTCTGTTCTGGTAAGGCTCACAGCTTCTCTGAGGCACACAACCCCACGCCCACAGCTGGGTGAGGCAGTGAGGTAGCAGCCCTGCTTCAGCTTCCCCTCCATGGCGGGACTAAAAATAGGTGTGTCTGACAGCCCGTTCCCAGCCTGGCACCCCGTCAGTCCCCTCAGCCACGAGCAGCAGAAGGAAGGGCTGTTCAGAAAGACTGTCTCAGCCTCAAACACATGTGCTGAGCTTACGGTATCCTTTGTGAAAGCAGATCCCAGCCTTAGTTCTGATGGCGTTTTAAAATTTCCCCAGGAGAATCATGACAAGAATTCTTCAAACGCTTAAATTTTATAAAATAAAACCATTGCCTTCACTTTAAACAAAAGAATGAATCTAGTTTTAGGAGGAAAGGGAGAATGTATTTTATATGYGGCAACACAAACTGATATCCCTTCAAAATGCCTGGCCTGGTACAGAATAGGTATACATCAAAGTGTAACCTTAAAAAGACTGTGTGTCAGCACCTTGGGATGGCAGGAAGTTCAGTGCCTGGCTCCTCATGGTGAGTTGTGTTCTCTTAGACACAGGAAAAAGGCGGCAGAAGTTCCTATTTATAGTAGCACCATCCCACCCCCTTCCCAACTCCCAGTGTCCTCTCCACCAGTAATGAATATTCAAGCACCTGGGTCCCACCTGTAAAAGGACCAGAATATACAGAAACCCAAAGGATTCAGCAGGGATGGCTAGCACCAGGTTTTCCTCTAGGTTGTGGCAAACTATAAGCTGCAGGTCAAAAATCTGGCCCTCAGATAAAACAAAACAAAAACTAAGAAGAATGTACAAAGGAGACTGCATTTAGCCTCTAAAGCCTAAAATATGTACTAAATAGCCTCTACATTAAAAGTTTGCTGAACCTGCTCTAGTGAAATCTTTTCATTTTTCTGATGAACAAATCAAGATCTAGTCACTTATCCACCATCAGTTAGTGAGTTGGTAACAGATCCAAGACAGATCTGGGTGGACTGATTCTTAATCCTATGTGTCTTCCATAACATGGTCATGGAAGGACGTCAGGGTATGAACATGGCCAACTCAGGAGGGAGTAGATTTATTTCTTCAACAAGTAGTCTGTTCTGATCTACCGTGGCCATAACTCCATAAGCTATTATACTCCTGCAGATTGGCTCTAAGCATATAAGTTGCTTTAGCTTATTCTTGCTCTCTGGACATCCTCTGTCTACTTTTCCTCTCTCCTTTTCCCCTCTTCTCCATTTTTGTGCCATCTCCTACTCTGAATCACAGAGCAATGATTTGATTTTAACTTGTATTAGTCAGCTTTCCTTTACTATAACAAATGTCTGAGATAATCAACTAATAAAGAGTAAAGGTTTATTTTGGCTTACAGTATTGGGTTTCAGTCTATGATCCATTGGCCCTGTTGCTTTGAGGCTGTGGATAAACATCATGATAGGAGCACATGCTTCCTTCACAAACAAGGGTCCCAGTATCACCTTCAAGGGCACACCCCCAGAGACTTCAAAACCTCCCATGAGGCTGCACCTCTTCAGTTAGGTTTTGCCAGCTCCCAATAGCTCCACACTGGGAGCTGAGCCTCTCAGTGGGCTTTGGGGGTACATTCTAGACCTAAACTATGGCATAATCTTTGTCCTTTTTTTTTTTCCCCTTTGCTTTTCAGGTTCACTGTTGGCCTATAATACAACCTCCCACACAGACCAGTCCTCACGACTAAGTGTCAAAGAAGGTAAGTCTGTTTTCTCAAGCACTTAGAATTTTCTTCAGTCCCATACTGTTAAGATTGGGGTGGAAAACTTTAGATCTGCACACCAACTTCCTTGTTCCACTCAGTCTTTTCTGGCCTACAAGACAAGAAACCAAAGCTTTTCTCACTGTGCCACCAATTGTAAAGGCGACATTGAAGAAGGTTTTGAAATATCTTGTAATGATATCATAAAGATAAAACTTGAAGTTATTATTCCATAAAAGAATATGTGTTGACCCTGAAAAGAAATGAATAGTGCCTACTTTCAAAGCTAAAAGTTGGGGGTTTTCTCTTCTGAAGATAATGAAATAAAGATTTCAAGGATTTCAGCACAGCCATCTTTTAAGGTTCTTTTCCTAACAAATTTTAGTGGTATCAATTCATGGTTCAAATGGAGATTTGAGGATTTGATCTAGTCTGGTTTGGTTTGGTTTTATTTGGTTTGGTTCAGAGAGAAAGAAAACTGTCTCAGCAAATTACTTTTGCCAACAAGGATTTAGCACACATCACAATAGCATTTCTCAGCATCTTTATCAAATAATGTCATGAAGATTGGTCCTGACACTGCGTTAAATTTTAACCAAATGAATAACTCATGATTCCTGGTTAATGGAGGAAAAAAAATGTGAACAAATAGTTATTAGAAACTAGAGAAGGAGTGAAAAAAATATCTTTCTGAGATAAAAGAAAAATTCCATGGAGGAAGGGTTCTTGAGTGGGAGTTTTCAGAATGATAGGAGTATGGCAGCCAAACTCTCTCTCCTCCCCTATTTTCTTTTTTTTTTATTAGTTGCTCATGACAATACAATGATCTTGACATATCATACATTTGAATAAATTAACTCACACCTGTCATCGTATAGAATAAAGGCAGGTTTTGGTGTGTGTTGCATATTGCGTAGAGCAGAACAATGTTTCGGAGATGCACCAGGCTCTTCTGAGGGAAGAGACCGTTTGGTTCAGTATCTTCATGGGATGCAGAGAAAACAGAGACCCAAACAGCCCCTGGGTCTTGTCCAAGGCTACATCTTTGATCACACAGGACTTGACATTTGCTGTTAAGACTCTATAATTTAACAATGRCCAGAACATTTATTTAATGCAAGAAATATAGATTATAATGAATCTACTTTTAAACATTTGTGTTTTTCAATTGTTCCCTTCTTCTCTCCTATCCCACCGAGGGCCAGTCCTGCTTCTGCTATTGTATATTCTTTCCAAATCAGATCTATTGAATCACATCATGAAAACTGAAGTTGTGTTGACTCATTCTACATTCTAAGCCAAACTTGACTTGATGACCTATTTTAACATCAGGTTTCAAATGTCTATAAGAGAGAACATCTATTTTTGAGGCAAATATATTTGAGGTCAGGGAAGCTTTGGCTTCCTTTGGGAAAACCACTCTCTCCCCTGAGCCTCAGTTGCCTGTCAAGTGCAGGGGCTGAACTAAGTCAGTAGGAGCCAAGCCTGATTTGGGAGTTCTTATTGAGTCTCACTTATTAAGTTTCATTTCATTTGCAGATTTGGAAGGAAGCAAGAGAGAGACAAAGGAAAGGAATCATTGGAAGGAAGAGGAGGGGGTAGGGAGGGGAGAAAGAAATGAAGGAAAGAATAAAGAAAGGAAGGAGGGAGGCAGTGAAGGAAGTTAAATCTTCCCATTGCTAAATGAAGATTCAAGGTTACAACCTACAGGTAACTGACCACCTCAGAAAGAACCAGTGAGGCTCTGGGGCAGGCAGAGCCAGTGGGAGATTTAGTACTGAGCTTAAAACACAGGTTTTAGTTTGGAAACTGGGTTAGGTAAGTGGAAATGTGTTGTTAACCTACCATGTCCTCTCTGGGRTGTCAACCCTCAGCCCTCTTCTCTGCAACACTGCATCCCTGACCATCTCTGGGAGCACATTTGCAAGGCTTCTGCCTTATTCAGGCTGATTGCAAGAGCAGCCCACTCTTCCTGGGTAGCAACCCCTCTTCTGAAATGAATTAACCGGAGTATCCAGGCAAACGCACACAGCCAGGGCCCCATTCAGGTAGTGCTGGGCATTTATCTCCCAGCATCAGCCCTGGCCTCTAGAGTCTATTAAGTCTGGGCTTTGCAGGTGCATCTTTTGTCCCCTATAAAGCTCTCCACTTGAGCCGCCTTGCTCCTCTATCGCCTCCCCCCTGGAGAGATGGTCTGAATCTGTCTGAACAACCCAGCAAGCCACAAAACAAAGTGCATTAGCAAGACAAAGCTTACCAGGCTCCTCTCTGCCTCCCTTTCACCCTCCTCCCCACCTCTCCATCTCTCTTCTCTAATAGCTATGTTTATTTTTWWAAAAAATAATAAATGGAAAAAGAAAAAGGAGACATTCTGCTGCAACCTTGGCTCCATCTTCTTTGAATAATAACACATACATAGCCCCAGAAAAACTCAGAGTTGCTGTGGGTGGGTATAGACCTGCACACACGTGCACTCCCCAAAGGGCAGGTGCTGGTATCAGGTGCAAAGCAAAGAAGTTGAGGAAAAGATGTCTATTAATGTGTCTTCAAAGAGCTTATCAAATTAGAATGCCTCTTTACTTTAAAATGGCATAATCACTCTTCCAGCTTGCCTTTTAAAATTATAGCTGCAATTCTTAAGGGTTATTTGTTGCCCAGACATTTAAGACTTAGTTTTAAAAATTAATTTATAGCAATCTTTATTATCTTGCACTAAGTATTCTGGAGACATGAATCAGACCCAGCTAGAGTAGGGGTGCTCTCCCCATTTTTGGTCATCCAAGTTAATGCACTTAAATAAATAAATGAGTATGGAAGTAACTATTGCTTATTTGCCAGATCAGGCATAGGGTCACTTCTACAGGATTTTGGAAAACAGTGGACACTTTCATGTACTTTTCTTTTGAGGCTTGCATCATCCCTGTGAGTTAATTATTGTTATCGCCATTTTATAGATCCATATCAAGTGACTCACAGCTATTAGATGGCAGAGTAGGGACTCAAAGCCAGGTTACAGGACTAAAAGTTCCTCAGTCCCTAAATGCTGATTTCACAGAAGTGAAGCAGAATAGTGGCTACTAGAGGCTGGGAAAGGTGTGGAGAGAGGATCGCTGATGGGTACAAGGGTATAGTTGGAGAGGAGGAATAGCATAGTAGGCTAACTAGGGTTGATATCAATTAATTGAATATTACAAAAGAGCTAGTAGAGAGGATATTGAATAATACAAATCCTCAATACAAATAATGGTAAATGTTTGAGGTGATGGATGTGCCAATTACCCTGATCTGATCAGTGCAAAATGTATAACCTATATTGAAATGTCACTCTGTACTCCATAAATATGTACAATTATTTTGCATCATTTAAAATTTTTCAAAAAATTAAATGCCTCTTTTCAGATGGTCTTCCTAATGAATAGGCATTTCCTTCTAGTTGCCTTTTCATAAAAACAATACCTAGCCTCAATATAATTTGAACAAAAAGATGATTTTTTTTTTTTTTTTACATTCTTTTTCCGGCCCTGCAGTTTCCCAGGGTCACCTCCAGCTACATGCCTAAGAGTTCTCATTTTCTGAAGATGAACTCATACACAACCTCTGCTTAGCAACACCCTCTGGTCCTGACTTCACAAAGGAACACGTGGAGATCTTTGTAAAACACTGAGCCCTAGGACAAATATTAATACAACTCCAGTCATAGGAGACACCTAGAACAGTCAAATTCAAAGAGATGGAAAGTACATGAAGGTTACCAGAGGTTCAGAAAGGAGAGTGCCACTGAACTATATACACTTAAAAGTGGTTGAAATGGTAAAATTTGGATCATACATGTTTTGCTAAAGCAAAAAAAAAAAAAAAAAAAAAAAAGATTAAAAAGCCTGGCCCAAACATGACGGATTAATTCTGAATCTCCAGGAGTGCCTATGAGGCCTTAGAATTTGTTTTTTAAAGTTCTCCAGGCTGGGCTGGAGATGTGGCTCAGCGGTAGCGCGCTCGCCTGGCATGCGTGCGGCCCGGGTTCGATCCTCAGCACCACATACCAACAAAGATGTTGTGTCCACCGAGAACTAAAAAAATAAATAAATATTAAAAATTCTCTCTCTCTCTCTCTCTCTCTCTCTCCTCTCTCTCCTCTCTCACTCTCTCTCCTCTCTCACTCTCTTTTAAAAAAAAAAAAATTAAAAAAAAAAATAAAGTTCTCCAGGTTACTCCTGCCCTGCAGCCAGCTTTAAAGCCCTGCTTTGTAGCACACAGACACGCCAGAAAGAGGGTAAGGAGACAGACTCATCTCAGAGCCAGACCAGGTGATTTTGGAGATACACTGGGATGTTGATCTTGACCTTGTTTGTCCCCACATCATCCCAAACCCAGAACCTATGGATATATTGATAAAACCATGGGGGAGCATGCTTAGGTTTTCCATCACTGTTATTGATGATGATGTACTCATTACCAATTTTGACATCTTTATATTCATTCAGCACTTCACATTTTAGAAATCTCATTCTGCTACATCTCTATTTGGTCCTTTAAAAAGGAGATATTGTATTGCATACTTGATTTTACAGGACACTGAGGTTCTAGAAGTTAGGTGATCTATCCAAGTATTTATGGTCCCAGAGCTACTGACTCTGTGCTTCCTTCTCTCAGGTTCTCCAGGCTGCAGACCTGAGCATGCTGCTCTGATAGCAGGTCAGAGCTTCTCTGTTTTTCTGGGGAAACCCAGCCTGGGGGCCTTCCCAGTGTGCTCAGCTGGAATAGCAGTAGGCAAGAATCAGCAGATGTCTTCTTTAGGGCTGCTGTGCACGCCTAAGCCCTCATTTCCTTAGCTCCTCATGCCGAATCTGTTTAAATACCTCTGACTCCCCAGAAGACAGAGGATATTGAGCTCTTTGTTTATTAACTCCTGGAACTCATAAACCCAACAAGGGCCAGCAGTGCGCTGAGCTGCTAGCCCCAGCCTGGGAGCATTTCAGAACCTGTTTCTGAGTCAAAAA